TTGCTTTTTTGGGAAGATTAAGTACATGGGGGAAAATACTCTTTTGACTAAGATTGAGCATGAACCCCACAAGAAAATGCTGGAGAAATTAGAAGTGATTCCTTGATACTGCAATGACAGGTGCATTTTGCAAAGGCCATAGACAGAAAGGTAGGGGAATAAAACCAGCAGTTTTATATGGAATGGTCTCTTTCAGCCTGTGTGTGGGGTGGTTGCTGGGATTGTCAGAAGAACCAAGAGGATGCAACATGGAATGCTTCGAACCTTAATTTTTTTCCCCAAATGTTGTGGATTATATAAATTACAAGCACTAATTACACTTTTAAAGCAACATTCCTCTTTCTTAAACCTTTTCAGTTACTCTTAAAACAATCACAAATAAGCTGAACAGTTATGCAGCAGCTAAAATTCACTGTAGTAAATCTTCAATTAATGATTTCACTATTGTTTAATTTGAAATTTTGATAATTTCTTTCATTTTGATTTAATCTGTCTACTTCTGCAACTTTTAAAATTTATTAGCACTCACCTCAGAAATTAAAGCACAATGTATAATATTGTACAATTCATTGAAAAGAATACTTAAATTTTCTAACTGATGAACAATTCTAAAATCTTTAGGGCTATTGATGGCTGCTGTAAAATGATGCATATCATTTTATTTTATTTAGAAATATTTCCCCTACTGTTGTCATCCTATAACAAAACATCATCTACACCTGCTGCTAATCTCTCCCTCGAAATCATGCCCTCCATTTGTAGCAGTAATCATCTCTACAATAATTTATTATGCCAAATAGGTTCAGGAATTTAGCTAAGAAATAAGTAGGCAGAGCACATAAAATCTAAAATATAAAGATGACATTTCTATGGAAAAAGGCTTAGAAGCAAAGCCAAACCAAACCCCCAAAATACAGTTCTGCATACCTCTCATATACATTTTTTGCATAAAGAGATTATTTACAAAAACCTAGTTTTCTATGATATGTACATGGGTCTTTAAGAAATCTAGTACAAGAAGAATCTTCCATCAAACAATACTCATTTGACTCATCATTTGACTTATAATTTAAATTAAAAGGTGAATAACATTAAAACAAAATTATACATAGAATATTAATGCTTCAGGAGATCACTGTCATGTAGCCACGGTAAACCAAAGACAAGACAACACAACTGCTAGCGCTCCATTGTGGATATGTTCTTACAGTGAATTACAACAACGTGCTAGAAAAACCTTATTTCATGTACTTGTGGCACCTTAGAGACTAACAAATTTATTAGAGCATAAGCTTTCGTGGACTACAGCTCTAATAAATTTGTTAGTCTCTAAGGTGCCACAAGTACTCCTGTTCTTCTTTTTGCGGATACAGACTAACACGGCTGTTACTCTGAAACCTTATTTCATGTGTTAATGATAATTGTTCTACCCTTGTAATAAGGACCTGAACACAATCTTCACATTTTTACTAAGATTTTCCTTGCCAGGTTTGTGTCCTGTAATTAAACATAACCTTTTAAAATGTTATGAGAATTTAAGGAACAGGAACATTATTTCCTCCTATAAAACAAGTTAGGAAACAACAGACACTGGTAAAACTACAAACTGAACTTTACAAAAGTTTGTTTCTATAACTATGTAACAACAACAATGGATTCCAATAACATTTTGATAATTTAAGGAATTATTTTAATTATATGCCATACATTTTATACATTAGAGTTTAATACACTTCCTCATAATCTATGAAATCTGTATTGGACAAATACTTTAGTGATGAATTCAGCTGTGGAATGTTAGTGCAGTAAATGGTTAGCTAAATTATAATGTTATACTGTTTTAAGCCAGCATATCCATTGTTACAATACCATGGAACAGTGCCAAACACTCAGAGAAATACCAAATCAGTTTTGTCATATGGAACGTCTATTGGTGGTTGAATTGATCTCTTTCAAAATTTATCAATAATGATGTCACCTCAACTTCAGAACAAAGTGAAATCTACTCATGTTCTAAGCAGTCTGTGATTTCAGCCTTCAGTTATGGATAGTACAAATGGCACAGCTCAGGATAAAACAGTTGTGCAATTTTTAACTCTTGCTTTTGAAACAACACAATTACTAATTACACCTCTACCCTGATATAACGCGACCCAATATAACACGAATTCAGATATAATGCGGTAAAGCAGTGCTCCGGGGGAGGCGGGGCTGCGCACTCTGGCGGATCAAAGCAAGTTCGATATAACTCAGTTTCACCTATAACGCGGTAAGATTTTTTGGCCCCCGAGGACAACATTTTAGGGGGTAGAGGTGTATTTCCACTTCCCAAGGTATTAAGATGTCTTGGCTCTTCTGTCTAACACAAACTTCTAGCTCAAACATGTTTCAGAGTGGTAGCCATGTTAGTCTGTATCAGCAAAAAGAACGAGGAGTACTTGCGGCATCTTAGAGAAAAATTAGCATGGGGAAATAGTTTTTACTTTGTGTAATGACCCATCCATTCCCAGTCCTTATTCAAGCCTAATTTAATGATGTCCAGTATGCAAATTAATTTTCCCCCTACTGTTACTCACACCTTCTTGTCAACTGTTTGAAATGCGCCATCCTGATTATCACTCCAAAAGTTTTTTTTTTCTCTGGCTAATAATAGCCCACCTTAATTGACTAGTCTCGTTAGAGTTGGTATGGTAACACCCATTTTTTCATGTTCTCTGTATATATATCTCCCTACTGTATTTTGCACTGCATGCATCCGATGAAGTGGGTTTTAGCCCACAAAAGCTTATGCCCAAATTTGTTAGTCTCTAAGGTGCCACAAGTACTCCGCGTTCTTTTAGCTCAAACATGTTTGTTTATTTTAAGGTTATTGGTATAATGATCAAATGGAAAATCCTAACCCTAAATTATGAATTTCCCTTTGGAACTAGGAAAATGGTACTATTTGAAATGGTTTTTGAACCTGAAGAAAACTAGGAATTTAATTTGCAGTCATTTGTTTTATCATAAGAAGATTACTTTATGATGCCAACTATCCAAATTACTTCTTCATTTGAATGCACGCTTTTATCAAACCCATGCAGCAGTCACAACCTTTAAAATCCCAACCATTGTTGCACATTTTTCTTCCTCATCTTGTTACATAGAAAGGTATCTTTCTATTCTAAATACTATGTAGTCAAGAATATTAAGAGTTAATGTAAAAAAATAGTATATCAGTATCTCTGCCTAGCTCAAAGGCTTTTCACTGATTCCTCTACAGACTTCAAAGCCTCACAGTTTGGCATTTGGACTGGTTTGAATTAAAGTTCAGTTCTCTGCCGTGAGTTTCCAAGTTCATGGTGAAAGTGCCTGCTGCTTCTGGATTTCATTAGGGCCAATTTTCTTATCTTTTTTTCATCTTAGGTTTGATCCCCTGCAAATGCAACGTGGCATTTGATGGGCCGGAATAACAAGGTGCTGCCTTCAAGGCATGTATTGTCTCATGGGGCACGCGTGCGCACACACACACACACACACACAAAGGATATATGACCCATTCCCTTCTCTTGTCTAACTTTCAGGGGACTATAAATTTTAAACTTCAAAGCATTATTTTACATTAAAATTAAAAAAAAAGTTCAGGAAAATGTTTTTCAAAGAAGCTGGTTAAGATTTAAAAAGGCCACTTGATAATGTATTATCATGAACAAACTTGGCATAAGATTAAAAAGGTTTCCAACTTAACTTGTACACTGAAGGTGTGTGCATGTGTGTATATAGCTGGCGTTACTATGTATAAGATCGGTTGGGCAAGTAACTTTCCTCGCAACAGTACTTGCAAAATGATGGCCACGACCATGTTTGGTGTATGTACGCTGAATAGCCGTATTCTCTGGTCAATAAGTGTCAGCATCAATTAGGCAATGGTTGGGTACATTCTTTTTTTAAAGACTGTTCTGAACAATTTTCCAACAGCATTGAAATTCAATTAAAATGTAATAGCAATTTGCCATTCAGCTCTGGGCTACAGGTTTTTCCTAGAAGGAAAAGATCAATATTGCTGAGTGCTAGGATAAAAAGACCTCCACTTTGCACAATAGTATAACACTATTGTTCTCCTGTAAGTGGAGGGAAATGGGAAGATAAATTATAGTTACTTAAATTATTATAAATGATATGTAATCTTTTAAAAATCTGTTGAGTTAAATCTCTATTTGTTAGTAAAATACATTAATATTTTTAGGAGATAAAAATGTGTGCACACTGAATAAAGGAAATAATGCTATTGGTTCCACTAGATTGAAAAGATGCAATGGAACCTCATGAAGTTGATATTCCATCTGTGTATTTTCAAAAATGTCAAGATATTTGCATCTGATACTTTGCATGTTCACATGGCCCTAAATTATGCAGACATTTGCCAGAAGTCCATTAAACCTGACTTGAAGTCAGAAAACCACTTCAACTAATAATTGTAGAAAAAGATGCAACTAGGGGAAGAGAACTAGATAAATTCATGGAGGTTAAGTCCAGTAATGGCTATTAGCCAGCATGGGTAAGGAATGGTGTCCCTAGCCTCTATTTGTCAGAGGGTGGAGATGGACGGCAGGAGAGAGATCACTTGATCATTACCTGTTAGGTTCACTCCCTCTGGGGCACCTGGCATTGGCCACTGTCAGTAGACAGGATACTGGGCTGGATGGATCTTTGGTCTGACCCAGTACGGCCATTCTTATGTTCTTACTGTAATTTTATACACCAGACCAGCAGAGCTTTTGCTGAGCAGTGAATAAGTGCCAGTCATTCGGCACCTTGCTCACACAGATCCATTGCTATGACCGGGCACACCCCTCTTCTTTCTTTGCATTGGCTTTCAGTCACAGAACGCTCAAGCAATTACAATCCTATTTTTAGTTTATTAAAAAGAAAAGAAAGTTGCAGAAAGAAGAGTGATTTCACTGCAGAAAGCTCTGATTTCAGCTAAGATGGGTTTTGTGAAAGGAAGGCTTGAATGTTACCTGAAAGCAGTCAAATATTCGGTGTCTCCCATCGGTGGTTCCAGGCCACCAGTAAACGCCATATTAACATTGAAACCAACACCTGGTCCAGTGCCAACCTGAGAAATGGAATGAAGGAGTGGACAAATATAATGTGTTAAATTCATGGAAATTCTGTTGATGCTGGCAATATATCTTTGCAGCCTGCCATTTCTTTAAATCCCATTGATTTGCTCTGCTCCTGACTGATTGATTTAGAATGCATTGTTGGGGTGCTTTCTTTTTTTCTAGAGCTTTTTGGCTCCCCAAAGGGAGGCAGCTTTCACATTCTCACAAGTCTCAATTCTACGTGAAAGTGGTGCACACACAAATATTTGACCACTGGTGGCCAAACAACTGTGTGTTATCTAAGCATGGAGTCCCATCATTAATATACCAGCGCCTTTTCCATTTTCAAATGGACAGACTGCCCTATTGAAGGAATTGTTTTCCATAATTCATCTTCAGCTTTATCACCAAATTCAGAAGAGTACTTTATAGTCCTGCTTTATTATGTGAATTTTCTTCACTCAGCTACAAGTGCAGTTTAGTCAGAGTGAGGGCTCCCTCTGCTTGTGGAAAATATGACTTGCAACAAATAGTTACACTGAGCTAATTGGGTATTGGTAGTCTATGAATCATTGTGTGCATATTTGTGAACATTATCGGTGTGTATGTAACTTTATTAGAGGTGACAGGTGAAAAATAAACACAACATTTACAGTAATTAATTTGAAGAAAAAGGTGAACCTCCTTTCTATATCCTATCTAAAGTGAAGTGCTGGTATACTGTTGCTACCTAAATACAATTAATCTGGAGATTCAATTTAGATGTACTATACAACTACATAAATGGCTATATCAGTTTAGATAAATTACAGAATTTGGGATTCAAACTTTTCTTTGGCTGCCTTACTGTAAATACTAGCTACTAGAAAACAGTCTGTCCATCCATCCACCCAATTTTAATACATAATCTACTAATATTTCCTATACACCTCTACCCTGATATAACGCGACCCGATATAACACTAATTTGGATACAACCCGGTAAAGCAGCGCTCCCGCGGGGCGGGTCTACACACTCCAGTGGATCAAAGCAAGTTCGATATAACGCGGTTTCACCTATAATGCGGTAAGATTTTTTGGCTCCCGAGGACAGTGTTATATCGGGGTAGAGGTGTATTAAAATTTCTGTTTGGTAGAACTGTATTTTGTAAATATTCCTGCGAGAACATTAGGAAACCCCACCACTTTATGCTCCATATTTTACAATTTATAGTCTACTAACGAGAGTCCCTCCAATCCAATATATTTATTTTTTAGACAAAACAATCATTACATTGTTAAATGATTTTAAAGACTCAGCATGAATATAAGTGCAGCCGAAGTCTGTAAGTTTGCACTTGTGGTCCCTCCTGCAGCATCAGTTAAACGCTGCATAAATGTTCGTCATTGGCTACAATTATAATGCACAAACAAGGTAATAAAACAAGGCTGTGCTTTATATTCTTTAGATGCCTGGAAGGAATATCAAAATTTGCAGAATAGAAAGGATAAAACTGACAGGGCAAGAAATTCCATGGATTTTCAAAATTATCAACATTTAAAAATAAATATAGTTAATTAGTTAAAATATTTTAATTGCCCTTTGAATCATGTATACAGATTTTTATAACTGCATCTCCATTAGAAAGGAACAACTTTGTTTAAATAAATACTAGTCAAAACTATGGAGTCTTTGTGGACTTTACTAATTATCTAAATTAAACACAGCAAAGTCTGGTTCATTCATGACTCTCTCTCTCTCTCCATTTGCAGTTCTGTGTAGAATTTATTAAGCAATAGGGATAAATAACCTACAAGTAAATTGAAATAATTGTCTGTGTGAACAGCAATCATTTTCTGTTAGCCCACTCTGATAAATCAAACATCCGGTCTTGTGTAATGAGGTCCGCTGACAGTGAGGTTGGGATTCTGTACAAAGAATGACTTCTGGCTTGCTTAAGATAAGACGGGCAAACTAATGTAATGGCTATTTTAAAACAAAATTGACTTTTTCCTGACAGCTATGTTTTCTTGTGAAAACCAGTAAAGGGTCCACAAGCCAAAGTAGGCCCTTTGTTATGGAATAAACAATGGAAAGGAGAAATAGCTGACAGGTACGCTTTCAAAGGAGAGGCCTAAGCTCAGCTTCTTGAAGGATAAGGCTGACGGTAGAATGAAAAAAATAGTACTTGACGAATGTGTGTGACCGTCTGGTGGAAGTCCAAATAGAAAAATGCTTCCACTCTAATTCATATGCCTTGTCTGTGGAAGGCTTATGGGATTCGGAGAGTATGTTTTGGACATTGTCCAACAATTCTAATTAATCTGTAGCTAAAAATCCAATATCCAAGCTTCTTAATGCAGGAAAAGCAGGTCTAAATGCAGTACTCACTCCTCTGAGCAATAACAGGGCATGGCCAGGAGTAAAAGAGATGGATCCCAAGTCTGTGCCTGGAGATCAGAGCACTGGTGAGCCCATGCAGTAACTGTAAAACCATGGACACCCTCTTCTTGTTTTGCCTCACAAAAAGCTTGCATTGTTAGAAGGAAGGAAATGCACATGAAGTTGTGTTCTCCAATGAAGAGAAAACTTTAGTCTGTTAAGCAAAGGCACCTGTTTGAACAACTGTCCAATAATGACTTATTAGAGACTAATCTTGTTGATCAATCATAGAATCATCCTGATTCTTTGACTAAGATGGTCTACCAAGGTATCTCTTTTCCTTGCCAGTACAAAATGTAAATTTTATGGCATTGCTAGGACTTCAGAAACACACAAAAATAGGTTCTAAGAGAAGCACTAACAGGCATTCATGTGAGCAAGAGCAGTACAAGCTTTCCTACGGTGCTCTGTCATTTCACTTCTTGACCTATGGAAGTCCCCCCAGTCTTGTCAATGCATCTCACTCCTGACCAGCAGCAGATTCTACCAATGAAATCCTGGGGTGCCAATCCCAGTAATTATATGGTGGGCAGGTATCCTGTTTATTTATGTTCTTACCTCATCAGGAGCTCCACTGCCTGGGAAGAAGTTTCCATCATCATAGCGATGTAGTGAAATATAAAGAACGTTAGGATCACTGTAGAAAGCCTGCTGAGTACCATTCCCATGGTGCACATCCTTCAGGGACAGAGATTGTATTAGATGAGGAGGATTAGTACACTAGTAACAATGCAGATGAAAAACACCAGGCTGATTCTTTTTAATCCAAGTGAAGCAGTTTATTGAAAACTAGAATGGATCCACACAATACTAAAATTAGCTTTTTGTTATACAGCAGAACCCTTATTTTACTAGCTAGCTGGGGATTGAGGAGTTAATGAAACTGAAGAGTTCATATAAACATCACAAAACCACAGTTGGTATGGTGCATAAGTGGCAGCACAGTGGTGCACTGCATTGCTTTTTTCTTGTCCTTCAAACCACTGCAGAGTAACCTCCAACGTACTGACAGTATCGGAATATGAAGGGATGTCAACTTGTTTTACATCCTCACCACTGTTACGTGATTCCGCCCCCCAAAATCATGAAATAGGGTTTGAATACAACTGGTTGTTTGTAAAACTGAGGCTCTACTGTCCTTTCAATACAACATAACTGGGTAATTAATTAACCTCAATTATACACCTGAATGAAAACAAGATGTTCTCTTAGACAGAACTAGAAGAAGCATGTTAATCACCAAAAGTCTGACCAGGCCGTCTATCTGCAGGCTAAACACCCATTTAAGCTCTGTGCAGGAATGAGCCCTATGCGTGCAATTTAACAGCAGTGCAAAGAAAACAAAAAAAATGATCTCAACCAAACAGGCCAATTCCCCTATTATCAAGGTATTAATAGACTAATACAGCTTACAAAAGGGGACATTTCTCCAAATTGTCCTTTAATTTCTGCTACAAAAATCAAGTCATTGAGAAAGGAAGAAGAGTAAAAGGAACTCTGAGAAAAGTGATGGACCAAAGTGGAAAACTATCCTGAACATTTATTTTTAACTTAAATAGATGAATGAGTCACATCCTGATCCTGAGAAAGCAATCAGGCTTCCAAAAGGAGTGTTGCAAGTTTGTTAAAATCCTAGCTTCTCTTGTTGAGTGACCCACCAGTGTTGCTGGGTTGCCCAAATATGCATAGTGTTGCACAATCCCTCAAGCAGGTTACTGAAATTGTCCAGATCGCTACTCAAGCAAAGCCAGTCAGGGACCGTGTCAGTTTCAATACTCTGTCAGCTCATGAGAACAGAGTTGGGATGGACATAATGCTCATGCCCAGTAATCTCATCCAGCATCCGGCACAGCCACCCATCTTTAAGTTTGGATCTGATGTGTGTTCATAGAATCATTGAATATCAGGGTTGGAAGTGACCTCAGGAGGTCATCTAGTCCAACCCCCTGCTCAAAGCAGGACCAATCCCCAACTAAATCATCCCAGCCAGGACTTTATCAAGCTGGGCCTTAAAAACCTCTAAGGATGGAGATTCCACCACCTCCCTAGGTAACCCATTCCAGTGCTTCACCACCCTCTTAGTGAAATAGTGTTTCCTAATATCCAACCTAGACCTCCCCCACTGCAACTTGAGACCATTGCTCCTTGTTCTGTCATCTGCCACCACTGAGAACAGTCTAGATCCATCCTCTTTAGAACCCCCTTTCAGGTAGTTGAAAGCAGCTATCATTCTTCTCTTCTGCAGATTAAACAATCCCAGTTCCCTCAGCCTCTCCTCATAAGTCACGTGCTCCAGCCCCCTAATCATTTTTGTTGCCCTCCACTGGACTCTTTCCAATTTTTCCACATCCTTCTTGTAGTGTGGGGCCCAAAACTGGACACAGAACTCCAGATGAGGCCTCACCAACGTCAAATAGAGGGGAATGATCACGTCCCTCGATCTGCTGGCAATGCCCCTACTTATACAGCCCAAAATGCTGTTAGTCTTCTTGGCAACAAGGGCACACTGTTGACTCATATCCAGCTTCTTGTCCACTGTAACCCCTAGGTCCTTTACTGCAGAACTGCTGCCTAGCCATTCGGTCCCTAGTCTGTAGCTGTGCATGGAATTCTTCCATCCTAAGTGCAGTACTCTGCACTTGTCCTTGTTGAACCTCATCAGATTTCTTTTGGCCCAATCCTCTAATTTGTCTAGGTCCCTCTGTAGCCTATCTAGGTCCCTCTGTATCCAAAGCCCTCTGTGTTACAGGCTTTGTTTTGGAGGGCTGATAGCTTCTTCAGGATCGGAGGGAGGGGAGAATGGGGGGAAATGGAAAAGATATGGTAAGAAGTTTAGTGCTGTTACTTTAAATCTTGATGTTACCCTTAAAGAATTTTTTATTATATATAAACCATTTTAAAGTGAACTTCAGTTCTGAGCTTCTATAGTCAGATTGTGTTCACTGAGTTATAAATAATGGCTCTCCTCTGTGAGGAACTGACGGAGTTTCCATTGTTACTTTGGTGAGAATAAATGTTTACTCACCCAGTCCACTATAAGGATTTTGCTAACGTTGAGTCTCTGTTGGAGAAGCTTGGCTGCAATTGCCACAGAATTAAAATAGCAGAACCCCCTGGAGGTAATGAGCAAGAGAGACAGAGAGAGAGAGAGGAAAAAAGGGGTGTTAATTATATGTTCGCCTCGGTCCTAATATATATAAAAAAAATGTGAAACATAATACAGTAAGTAGGAAGAAATTTCTATTTCACTAAGTCTTCCTCCCTAACAGATATGTGTGCTCGATTACACACAAAAAATAACCACATGCCCACAGGTGACTCAGTGATCTCACAGGAAATGGTGAACACTATTACACGTTCTAACACTCTTTACTGTGAGGTGCAGCTGAAGTATACAATCTGCCTGACAGTGACTTTTAAAGTGTCAGGGCTCTCACTCAGATTAGGGGAGGGGGGTGCAGTCAGAGAGAAAGGAGGGGATTTTAGTGATACATGAAAACGTCTGAAGCACAGGGGACCAGTTCAGAGAAGCTTCAAAGAACTCTGCTCATTCAAATCTGGTGGTAAATATTCTCTGATCTCACACCAACCAAGTATCAAGGGACCAAAGGATTTGCGCATTGGTCATGAAGCCAGGCACGTACTAGTTCAAGAAACAAATTCTATTCAGGGTTGAGGGAGATGCACTCATTAAATATGGTTTATTACCCTCTTACCTTTTGGGAACCAGAGTTGAAATCAGCCCAACCCAATGTGGCCAAAACACTTTCAACTCTAGGGGAATAAAATCCCAACAAAGCTACATGAGTGGAAGATTTGACTTCAGTTTCTGTTTTATGAAAAAAAAATGTTTTTTTATAAAATTGGTGTTATATTCCCAAGACACAATACTGTATCAGGCATAACTTTTATAAGTGGCATATCACTGATTCTCCATATTAAAAAACCCACGGTGTACCTAACTTACAAACAGCTCTTTATCCAGATAAACAATAGATGGGGATGATGGAATTAATAGACTCAAATGTAGTTTTAGAAATGGATGCAATCTCTAAGCATGATTCTAAAACAGACTGCATTGAACAAAAAGAGGACTGGAAACTTTCCTGCTTCTAAAGTATTACAAACAGCTTTGAATCTGATGCGCTATTGTGCATCACTCAGCAAGGAAGTCTATAATAAATCAAATAATTATTTTTTTAGCTTTCAGCTCCATATCATGTAGAGAGTTCTCTTTATTAATGGCTCTAAACACTGAAGCAAAGCAATTAAAGCACACACATACTTACATGGGTGTACTCTCTTCAGCATGATGACCTGGAGGTCGAACAACAGCAAATCCATTCTACACATAAAAACCAACAAGAATACAGAGGGGCGATCAGACACAAAAGAACATTGGTATCTCACAGAGTGAGCTCAGAAGCTGTGGTCAGAGTTGCTAATTCAGTTTTGTAATTATTCATTAGTTCTTGATCACTCAGATGAGCATTCATGGCTTCCACTCAAGCCCTTAGCAATGTGTCAACTTTCCTTTCCTTTTTAAGGGACACAGGCAGCCTGCATTTTTTGGAAACTGACTACTTTTTTTAACCGAGTTTCTTGTAGAGCATACTTTGAACAACTGCAGTGAACTCTGGCCCTGTTGAAGTCAATAGCAAAACTCCCACTGACTTGAGTGGCGTCAGGATCTTATCTGAGGTTGTGATTTTTTTTTAAACTTATCCTTAAAGGTTAGTAAATGTTTTGTTCACTTGCTAATGTCCATAAGGGTCTTGTCAACTAAGGCAAGAAGGGACCATTACAATCTTCAAATCTGGCCTCCTGTGTATCACGGGGCATAAATTTTACCCTGTCATTTCTGCACAGAGCCCTATATCAGAGCCAAGTGTTACTGCTATACCAACCTTCAATTCTCCTGTGGCCACTTTAAAAACAAGTTCAATGACACAGCCCACAGCCAGGCGAGCCGCACCAGATGAATGAACTTCATTCCAAATTGTGTCACTGTCAACCTAATGAAAACATATGAATAAATTCCGTTTTCAGAAACAATGAGAAGAGCCTGCAGTTGGACTACCTAGATTTACATACTACTGAAACATAAAATTCTTGTATTCATAGTGATCATCCCAGTGACAATGCAAAGAGCTGGAACCATTGGGGCCTTACATACACATACGTACTAGTGCTAGCTGCTAGTATCACAATGCTCAGGTGGTGGCACACCTGTCTTCCCATGTGAAGAGAGAAAAACTATGACACCGGCGTTGGAGCTAATGTCACAGTAAGTTCAGATCTATCCATATTAACACCACTGAAGAGACCAGATTTCCAGTTGCTCTATGGTGCTGAGGGATTAGCAATAGGAAGGAGAGGAGTTTGATTACATGCAGTGTAAACAATCATGGGCTTCCTTCTAAGATTCTTATTTGAGTGTTGTCTCAGTATTTCTTTTTACCATCGGGATAAAAACTGACCCACGCTCAAACAAAAAGCGTTAAGAAAATGTACAACAAAAAAACTATTAAAGAGGGAATAAATCAATGAAGAATGATGTTTAAGAATAGACAATTATCTAAATCCTTGTCAAATCTATTTTGGCTAGATTTACACAGAAATTGCTCTACTAGAGAATCAGAAAATAAATTTTAGCTAGCTTAGGTTCAGAATGGCCCTTCAACATCTAGGTGCTAACTGTGGACATTTAGTTTAAATGCCAAATATTTGACAGGATGAGGAACAAATCCCTTTGACAAAAACGTAGACTAGACTAGGGGAGAAAAGGAAAGACATTCTTTTGAAATTTTCTGGATGCTCATTATTGTACAAGATCAAGTTCTCATTTAAACAGGAAGTGTGCAATGTTGGCTTTTACCACAACAAGCTTAACAACTGCACAGAGGCAAAATAGGTTCACACATAGGTGATGAAATACCCTGTTTGATATTTACTATGATTTGGTTGTGAGCACTGGACAGAAGTGGACAAAAGGAGCTTTTGGATTCCCATGGGATTGTTCATAGGCTTAGCCAGTGGGGAATGACCTGCTCTGAATCCCATTGATAGTGGGCCAGACTGTTTACATAGAGTGGTGACAGCAGTGTGTGCTTTCTTCTTTTCACCTATAGCTTCTGCAAAATCCAGACTTAATGGAACTGATCCAAGCTGGGGGTAGTCTAGCTATCCGGGACAGGCTCAGAGTAAGCATAGAGTGTTTGTTGATGTGAAGAACTGTCAGATTTTATTTCTAAGATAAGACTGACTGGATATGAACTCAAGTATCAGAGGGGTAGCCGTGTTAGTCTGAATCTGTAAAAAGCAACACAGGGTCCTGTGGCACCTTTAAGACTAACAGAAGTATTGGGAGCATAAGCTTTCGTGGGTAAGAACCTCACTTCTTCAGATGCAAGAAGTGAGGTTCTTACCCACGAAAGCTTATGCTCCCAATACTTCTGTTAGTCTTAAAGGTGCCACAGGACCCTAGGATGAAGACAGGGGTAGACAGCTATGCTCTGCTGGCATAATGGAACTCGCTACAATAAGGGCTACTCTGAGACTGTCAATGAACTCTTCTAGGAACTAAGGACCATCACAAATGTCACCACCTTCTGCTCCAAGAGCAAGGGGCACATCTTCGACCTTGCCTTTACTAACATAGACATATAACAAC